AGAAGAACTCTCCTCGATTAATTTTTTCAGACAAAATCCAAAGGAACTCGAGTCGAATCGCACGCCAACTGAAGACCACTATATTGGAATCCAACTCGTCCTCTCTCAATCAATCAGCCATTAGCACACCAAAAAGTACAAGTGATGTAATCATTACTCGCAAGTCGCCCATAAGCCCCATTTCTGAGGTACATTGAACTGCGAATCGTGTAAAACTATATTGATGTATTCGGGAATTGATAAATTCACGGAGGAGAGTTCAATTTGTTCGTTTTAATCTGCAGAAGTAACGTCCAATGAGAGTTGCGGAGCTTGAAACGCAAATTTTCTCAACTTCAAGATGATTTGAAGACTATTAAGGATCAATTAGTTTCATCAGAATCATGGAAATTTAACTTATATAAAATTTTATTTGGAATCGCATAGGACCAATTTCTGGTGATTGATATTTGCTAGCATCGGTGTTGTGTTGGGCGTGTGCGAAAGGTTTAATTTTCCAGTTTCATTACTACTACTTTGTTTAGTTGCTTTTGCTAAAAAGATGTCCCAAGGGTCTCAATTTTCTTTCAAAACCCACCCTCTACTGAGGTAAATTAAGTTTTATTTACAATTTTATATGATTCTTGCCTGTTTACATATTTCCTTTTCAGTTGTAATGATTGCGTATTCCCGACTTTTTCGTGGCTTTGTTACAGTTGTTAGGTGGACTTGATCTACTGTATTCGATTCTTCAACATGGAACCACAATTAAAGTACACTCCTAATATCCTCATCTCAGACTCATTTCTTCTATACTATTAATCTCTTCTCCAGGGTAACACAAGTAATCCCTCACATTCTAATTCAACTTTTTTTTCTTTTCTTTTTTCTAAAATATTCTAATAATCTAATTGATGATTGTAATTTCAATTTCAGAATTTTATAAAGTGTAGTTTATTGTACTTTTTCATGACGAGTGTAATTTGAATTTTAGATGTTTGATTTTTCATATTTCTTACCGTAGCTGGGATTTCTGAAGAGCTAGATCTCTTCATGTATTTCAATTTCTTGCTCCACAGATGGGGTTTTTTCAGGTTTATTCCCCTCTAATAGAAATCTTTAAGTTCACTGATGGATTTTAGTTTTCTTGAAATGAAGAACAGTATAGTTGGGATGATCTGGTGCAATAAGAAGAGCCAACAGTATAATTGTCTTTTTTTTTTTGGATTTGTCAGTTGTAGCAGGTATATTTAAAACTGTAGGAGCATTGTGAATTTTTTTATATCATGATTCTATTTAGTTTATTATTTTTCTATTTAATGTTTACTTAATATAGTAAAGTAAAGTCACACTCTTTCGAAAAAATATATATAAACTAAGATAAAAACTTTAATCTAACTATTATACTATGATATTAGTTTATTGTGATTTAAGATGTTGTATAAGTTAAAATAATTTAAACAGAATCGATCTGGAAAGTACAATTATATATATATATCTATATATATATATCTATATCTATTATCTATCATATATATATCTCTATATCTTCTAGATCTATCTACTTGCCGCCTCTCTCAATCTTTGATCAAAACCTGGACGAATTTGCCCCTGATGTTATGGTCGCCTGAAATCACTCCTACTTGTGCTTATCCTCTACAAATCAGAGACTAATTTGGACTTTTTTGCCCTTAATGTTGGTGTTACCTATAGCCTATCTGGGTGATCTCAGCCATTATGCTCTAATTTTTTTTAATTGCTTAGTATTTTTTCCTAAAATCTTAATGCACTTCGTTCAGCCCTTTGCTGGTGCAGGTTTCCAACCACCAATCTTTCATAGGATTTAGAGTTTTTAAAATCTAATTTGTTTTTTTTACACATATTACTGTTTTATCAGCTCCGGTGTAGGAAGGCATCTCATATTGTTGTGGATTACACTCTCCAATCACGTCTTAGCAATTAGCATGGTTCCTAAACCAATCATTCTGTTGTGCTTTCTTGCCCAACTTCTTCCTCTCTATTATCTGCTCTTCAATGGCTGGTACGTGATTATTTACTTTTTTTAGGCTGGTACGTGATTATCAACTTCTTTTTTTTGTAGTTTGTTTGTTGGTTTTCTTTATTTCCTTCAAATTGAGTTGTTTCTTTTTTAATTTTGGTGAATTTTGTTGATCTATTCTCGATTTAGTAAAATGATATTTGATTAATTGAGTTTCTGGGTTTGGTATTTGGATTTCTCTGAAGTACATGGTTGATCAAGTAAAAAGGGGGGGTTCAATGAACTAACTTTGACTGTTTACTGTTTTACTTTGTAAAAAATGGTGGGATGTTGTTTGAATTCGTTGATAATAGAATTTTTGCATAAGTTGCGTTTTTTATTTTTACTTTGCATAACCTGCATTCTTTGAGTATTCGGACGGGAGGTTTGACTCTTTGACCTAAATGAATATACTCCTATAGTTTTTTTGTCAAATGTTTTTTTCTTATTTAATTAATTAATTTATTTATTTATTTAAGCAAAGTAGAGGTTCAAAATCCAGGTGCTTTCACTACAAACCCTAAAATTCGAGTGATAGCTTCTTGGGAACCTATAGTATTTGCAACAATTATTATCCCCAGTGAGTAAGCTCTCAAAATCCCTAATTTTTTTATCCCCAAATGGCAAATTGTATAAATAACTGAAATACCCTTTTCTAAAACCATGTTATTAACATTTTTAGTATGTAAGTACGAAATGCAGAAAGTCAGAGATAGAAACTTCTATTAGAAGCCGCAAAGGAGTGCAAGATGAGTTTGGACATAGTTGAATCACATTACCTAACCGGAAACATTTCAACCATTTGGATTGTTTGCAGCTCGGTTGATATGCAAGGGTCTACCCCGGTATGATATTTTTGATGCTAAATTTTTACTTAGAAATCAGAACTTATTAATATTGTTATATTTTTAGTAATCATTGAGCTTTTACTTAATTTTTACAGGGAGGCTTAGCTATATATTGGCTTATCTAGATTGTTTGCATGGTTAGTTGTGGAGTGACTGTACTTAGTTAAGGCGTGTGTATGCTCGATCACAATCTGCAAAATATCATAAGTATTATTTTTCAGCAAGTTTTTTTACATCAATGAATAATTGATCATTTGAATCATATTTTGAAATTATATGTCCAGTATTCGTTATTTTGAATTAGCATGTTCCTCATTGCAATCTATTTTTGTAATTACATTTCATATTTATTGAAATATTATATATTTATTATATTTTTTTTCTTATTCTACAAACTTTTCAAATTACAGTTTTTTATATGGTAATTATTATCTTAAATTAGGTATAATTTTATATCTTTTTGTAATTATATTTGACATGTTATATTGATCTTATTTTCGATATCATACCATACATAAGACATATTTTTAAGTATGAAAATGATATTACATTCCAAAATCTTTATGTCATATCAGCATTAACCAATTTATATTTCCCTATAAATATAGGGTCTACGATTTTTCATTCCAAATCAATTTTCTCTCAAACTAATTATCTCCTTTCATTGCAGATAATAGTATTCCATGACAACTAAAAATGCGGATCAGGTCGTGTTTGATAAGTTTGTTGAAATCGATGCATCCAAAGGGTCTTGGACATACATGTTAAGTTTTTTTGCTTTGGAAGCAGACCTATAAAAACAATCCTAAAATGGTCGGGAGCCTAGACATGATTTTATTTGACACTGTTTCTACAAACTTTATTATTTAGATTGTCAAATTCTTATGTTATTACTTCAAATTTTATGTATTTTTTCCTGAAAAGGGTATTCAAATTGCTTCAAATATGTGGCAGAAAAATGTGGATTTCAATCAATTTCTATTCTTCTGTTTTATTTATATTCAAATGATTTAATAATCAACTTTATTGATGTCAACAGAATGCTAAAAAAGTCGTTTATATGCATGAGGATCAACTTCAAGATAAAGAAGTTTTTGATTAATTGTTACACTTCAACTTGCATTAACAAAGAGATATCTGTTGTTCCAAGGTTTTCAATATTTCTTTTATACATATTATTATAATCTTCAGTTAAACTTTCTACGTTTATATTACTAAATCTGTTTATATCAATGGTTTTAGTTTCAAAATCACCATTACAGCGGTTTGGTCACTTACGTTATTTGATCGTGACGCAAAGATACTTCTTGAAAAAACTGCACAAGAGTTGCTTGACAATTTTAATGAGGTTATTCATATTATCTTTATTTACACAAAACTAATTTAACTTTTTGTCTATTTATTTTTATAACCGTTCATTTTTTTAGGGGGGTAATACGGACCAATGATCCATCTGCTATGAATGTATTTTTGAATAAAAAGTTGGCGTTCAAAATTCAAATTTCAAATGATAATTTGAAGAACAAACTTGATGGTTATGAAATCGTAAAGTTCACTGCTGATAATACAATCATTGCTCAATTGGAAGAAAAATTAACATTAAACGGGTAACATATGAGTTTATTTCTACATTTAGAATTTTTATTTCTACATTAATGATTATTGAGGATAAAATCAAACGTACTATCTTACCACCACCGAATCATTTGAGATTGTTACTGCCAACAGCTACTTCGGTCAAGCAGCCTATTGAGATAGTTACCACCACCAAATCATTTGAATGGTCTTCTTCGGAAGATGGTGTTGCCACTCCTTCTTTGAAGATCCCAAAAATGGAAAACCTCGAATAACTTTAAGTCATTCATCAATATTTGACATTTTGGTTTGAAGACTTTTTATTAGTTTTTATTGTTTGCTTATGGATTTATTTGACAAGTAATTTGTTTTGATTTAAAAGTTTATGTTTCTTTTCATCTATTTCCCATAAATTTTCTTTTTTTAATTATTATGTGTTCCCTCCCGTTTAACGCGGGTTATAATCTAGTTATATAATTATAAGTTACTTAAAGAAAAATAAGATGCAGTCGTTAGGGTATGGAAAGATTCCAAAATTATATGGCATAGAACATAGAACAAGGCATTATATAATTATAAGTTATTTAAAGAAAAATAAGATGTAATCGTTAGGGTATGGAAAGATTCCAAAATTTCTGTGACATAGAACATAGAACAAGGCACGTTTCTTTGTTTGGTCTCTAATTCCTTTCCCTACAACTAGAAACAGATCTAAGTAGATGACCACAAAGCCCAGATCGAGACCGGCCCAACAAAGCCCGATTAGGTCCCGTTTGATAGTTTCTGTCTGGGAAAGTGCTGTCTGGTAAAGTGCTGTTTGGAAAAGTTTTCTGATTGGGAAAGAAACCATGCTGTTTGATTGTACATCTGATTGACTGTGCTGAATGATGAAAAAAAGTAATAATCCAATAAAGAAAGAAAGAGGCGGGGTTTGGTGTACTCCAAAATCTAACATCAACCCATAACTCACCTTTTGGTAAACAAATAGTAGTAAACAGTTTTCTGGTGGATTTTCATGCACTAGACATCTGAACCACCGGCCTAACACACTTGGTGTGCACTTCATACCCACAATCGATGCACTGGTAGGCCCAGCCCGAACCTTGCTCGTCACAATCACAACATATGAACGGCCCCCCACCATTTTCTTGAGACACCAACGTGAGTTCATGGCGATGGCCTGAATGTATCTCCATGCTCGGAAGATTCTTTGCATCCTCATCCATTTGCTTCTCCAATAGCTTCACCCTCGCCTCTGTAAAAGGATAAGCTTCCTCTTCGTACAAGTTAATCAGAGATCTCCCATTCTTCGTTACAGTTTTTCCATCTGGACCCAAAATGATTAAACTTGGAATACCCGTGATATCAAAGTACTTGGTCAGGTCCTTATTGATCGGGTCCCCAAATGGGAGTGCTAGCCATGGCATTACGCTGAAAGAAGATTCAAACTCTAGTTGAGTGTGATCAGTTGGCACGTAGATGATTTCAAAGTCTTCTTGTTCAGTTAGTTTTGCTTTTATCTTTTGGTAAATGGATATCAACTTGGGAGTGAATTTGAGACTTGGGAGACACCATTGTGCTGAAAAATATAGCCCGATGGTTTTGCCCATCAAGGAAGATATTAATACCTGCATGCATGGGGGGCTAATTATCATAAATGTGTAAGTACATAGAAACTCGATTCAAACACATTTATAACCACTGAAAGAATCACTTATAAATTAATTAAACCAACCTTTTTGGATGCCGAATGAGCCAAAAGAAAATCTCTATCATGATTCATAAGCAAATTTGACAGAGTTTGTCGTTCATGCTTCTCCTTTTCTTGCTTCAACAACTCATCCAACCTCTCTTTTGTAAAAGGATATGCTTCAACGCCATAACGATAAATCAACTCAACTCCATCGTGCACAATACCTGCATCATCGGGTTGCAAGATGATCAAGCATGGAATCCCCTCAACGTCAAATCTGTTGTTCAATGCCTTTTTAGTTTCCAAATCAGAGAACGGAATCGCAAGCCATGGCATGTTTGATTGATAGTAGTTGTTGAATGCATTCAAGTCTTCATCAGATGAAACAAATATGATCTCAAATGCTGACCCTTTTTTCGCTTTGATTTGTTCGTATACTTGAATCAATAGTTTGGTAAAACTTTGGCATTGTGGATACCAGTTTGCTGAAAAGTAAATGCCAACGATTTTGTCGTGAAGGTCGGAAATTTTTATCTGAAATATGGAGATATATTGTAAGGTGATATTGTCATATTGGTACAACTACTAGTGGGGCAATTTTATCCAAGAACCTTAGAACCAAATAAATATCTCTACTATAGTATATGATGCCCCCATCTTTTGAGGTATTGAAGGTGCAAATAATGCAAAGGGTAACCCCACTTCTGAGCAAATGAAAGGGATAGGCACCTTACATTTATGGGATTCCACTTATGTAAATGTTTCATATAAATTTTGTAGGTTGATGGAAGTCTTTTTGTGATGGAAAGGTACCATAAAGCATGCGTGATGTACCTGTTTGAGTTTAATGGGACATGGTTACCCTTTCAGTGTTTTATATATGCTTTTGTCACAACAACTACATCATATATATATATATATATATATATATATCTATATATATATAGATATATATATATCTATATATATATATATATATAATATATATATATATACAGCTAATATTCCCATGCCATAGCAAACTGTATTTAGCAACGGATACAAGTTAATATATTTGTGACTCTTAAACTTAATCCACGTGGAGTTTTTTTTTTTTTTTTTTTTTTTTTTACTTTTACGTACACATGAATACATGAATCCATGATGCCCAAGTTGAGTCAAATGTGTGTTATGTTCATGAATAAAACTGAAAGGATATGCTCATAATCCAAGTGTACATGATCTTTGAAGTTTAAAATTTTCAAACTAGAATTATAAATATGCGATATGTTAAATTTAGGTTATACTCTTCAACAATCACTCGTTTTATTTTCTAGATTCAAAATTATAAACATATTTTAACTTCTTAATTTCCCAACTAACAATTTTGGACGATTTAATTATGTAATTAATAGATATACAATTACGTACATGAAGCTCTAGAGATTTGTAGGCATAACTCAACAAGCAGTGTCAAAATCATAGTATATAATCAAATAATTTATACGACATATTAGTACATGGAAAATATTATGGTGCAGATCTACTCTCGTCAGTTCAAACTTTATCTTTGTCTTCTTTTTTTTCATTTTTGAAAAAAAAAAAAAAAAAAAAAAAAAACTTGTTTCCATCGAACATCCTTAACTAGATCTAAAGTAAAACATTTGAATAGATAAGACTCGTTTAGCATAAGTTTTACACAAAAATGATTGTATATTTTGAACTAATTAAACAGCTGTTTAAAAAAATATATGCTGAGCTGAACGATTACTTTGGCATGCACTAGAAATTTTAGAGAGAGAAATAGAGGGGGACCTGAGCTCCGGTGGGAGAGAGAAGAAAGTCACGGTCATTGGAGGCGAAAAGAGATAAATATCTGTGGCGGCTGACGATGGTTGTGGTGTCCGGCGACGACGTTGTGTTGATCAACGATAGCTGCTGCCTCATCTCTCTCTCTCTCTCTCTCTCTCTCTCTCTCTAGGATACAAGAAGAACATTAACATATAGGGAACCAGGTGTTGAGCTTCAAGAATCTGTGGAGTTTATATTTTCGTGTAGCCGTACAAACTTATCATTCACATACAAGATTCATAAAACAAAAAGAAATTTTATTTAGTAAATAGATCGAACTTAATTGAGGCCTGAATTTAATATATATTTTGCATTTAAATATGTTATTATTTATTATAATGATTGTTTAGCTACTCAGATTAAAATTTGTTTTATTCAAATTAATGATATAAATAAACATTTTACGTGAATCGTATATACAATCTAAATTATACCTTATATAAAAAGTATTTGGCATTAATGTTAGATGTCTAAATAATTTAAAAAGAAAAACAAAGTATGTAAATTATCACAGCCAAACACGTAGCATTTTCTATTTCTTTTACGGTCTGATTTCCTACACCAAATATGCATCAAGGGTCATGGTGCAGTCAGTTAAATTCCATCTTTGCCCTTGTGAATGTTTTCGGATTCTCTCCTTTTTATTCAGGAGTTTTTGTGATTGAAAATACTATTTTACATTCTACCGTATTTTCAAAAATATTTACCATTTTGGTATTTCTTTTCATTTTTTTTTTGTATTTTTCAGTTTTTTTAGTTTAAATATTCGATTTGTCTTCCTTTCTCTTTTATTTCATCTTTTTAATGTTTTTTTTTATTATTTTTTTAAACAACAGTTTTCATTTCAGTTTTTTTTTTACATTTTTTTACTGTTTTTTTTTAATAACAGTTTTTTTATCTTTATTATTTCTGTTTTTATATCCGTGTCCAACTCGTCTCTATTTTTATATATCAAAAAATAGTAGAAAAATGGAACAATCATATTTCATCTCCAAAATTATTATATTTTTTTACACAAGATATATTTTGACTTGTAACTTATATAATATAAAAACATCATTGTATATACTATTAATTGTTAAAAAGTTGATGAACAAGAACTTTTTGAGATTTTGATTTCTGCCACAGATTTTTCTGGGTTTTAAACATTTGCCACAGAATTTTTTAAATGTTACACTTACCTCCCTTATTATCTTCCACCGCCTTCCTCATCTTTAAGTTTCCACCGCCTTGTCTCACCAATCAGATGCAAGAAACCCTTCTCCAACCTTCTTCTACCTTCCTTTTAATTTATTTCTCCGTCTTTGTTTTCTCCATTTAGACCTAGCGGGTCTTGTCTCATGCTTGGTTTTAAGTGAAGCTTATCAGCAGCTCTTGTATCTCTATCAACCTCTCCCTAATTGGTGAACCCTAAAAGAAGTGTTAGTCCATGTGTTGAAGCGTTTCATGCCCCAAACCTTGCCACCGCCATTATTGGGACATGTGGGGATGAGTCTTCCCACCGCCGCCAAGAAAGCTAAGAAATTAACATTTTGGTACAGAGGCAGGGTTCACGTTGTCGCCGCCGATGTTCTCGGGACACCGGCTGCTGCTCCATCTCTTCCTCTACGCTTAAACAGTAGGTTTAATGACCGTACCTTCACCCTTGCTTATGTGTATCGTCTGGGTTTGATTGTTTGCCTTAATTGCGCCATTTATGTGATGATAGAATTTTGTCTTTCTTCAGAAGCAATCGGAGCTGTCTCTCCTTCTAAAAACCTCAACTAATCAGACCTCTTCACTCTAAAAACCTCCGGCGTATGGCGTTTCACGGACACGGGGATGACGAGGGTTTGTCACCAAGAAAACGCCCCTTACTGCACTCATCTTCATCAGTGTGGAATCGGGTCCGTTGCGTTGTGCATTGTTAGATATAAAAGCCAAAAGAAATATGGCAGACTCCTTGTTACGCAGCTATAAAGACACAGAGAAAGAAACTTATTAATCAGAGAGAAGTAAAGACCAAAACCTCTTATTATTGTTGGCACATGTCCTTAAAAAAACACACACACCACACACTACTCACGTATGTATGTGAAAGTAAACTTGCTGGGAGAAAGCTTCTACATTCAATGAAAAATAGAGGTACAGAAACAAAAGAAACACTACACCTATTTATACTAAACATGCACATGCACATCTCGTCATCTCCTATAAACTTGGTCAAACTTGACATTTTCTCTTGTGCACCTTCTAAAACATGGGTATAATCCCTTTATTTCAGCATGACTCAATCAAACACTCCAGGATCATTAACTAGATCCGAACCATCACCCGTTGAACCAACCGATTAACCAACAATCACCCCCTTAATCGGTTGTTCACACCATTCACTTATTGTCTTCTTTGTGATAGTCCCAACCTTTTCCGATCTAACCCGTTCTTGGAGCCCTCTTCCACAGTCAAGAAAACAATCTCCTGGGTTTTCCGTTTTCCTTTTTCTGCAAACAAGCCTAACCAAAAACAACCCACATGTTTCTGATTTCTTCTGCATGTCTTCCTACTTCTAGTTAGGATCCTTTAACACCGAACAAACTGATCAAGGATGGAGAATACACCTTTCCGGCTACTTACGCCCCTTCAATGCAACCGGGTTGCCTGCTGCATCTACCTTGCAACAGAGGGACCTTTTTCTTGAAACGACTCTCAAACCTGCCATCTTCGACCTTAGCTATGATACCAATTGTTGGCACAAGTCCTTAAAAAAACACACACAACACACACTACTCACATATGTATGTGAGAGTAAACTTGATGGGAGAAAGCTTCTACATTCAATGACAAATAGAGGTACAGAAACAAAAGAAACACTACACCTATTTATACTAAACATGCACATGCACATCTTGTCATCTCCTATAAACTTAGTCAAACTTGACCTTTTCTCTTGTGCACCTTCTAAAACATGGGTATAATCCCTTTATTTCAGCATGACTCAATCAAACACTCCAGGATCATTAACTAGATCCGACCCATGACCCGTTGAACCAACCGATTAACCAACAATAATTTTTTTTTTCATATCAATTAAGACTATATTTATAGCTTCTTAGACACCCACGACGAAGTATGAAAACAATCCATGCTCCTGACTCTACCTAATTAGCTAAAGATCCGTACAACTCCAACAAATCCGGTCAAACAAAACACCAATACTTAATAATTAACTATTATCTAAAACATAAAACATAAAACATAAAACAATAATAATGATTAAATCAAAAGTTTCAGCCATGCACGTGAGCTATGGCTAACAAACCGATTAACCCAACAATCACCCCCTTAATCGGTTTGTTCATGCCGTTCACTCACAACAATGTTGAATCCCCGTCTTCTAGAACCATCCTGACTTCTTCCGGACACCTGACCTCCACCTCGGTCACATCCAAAGTCCTTCATACAATCCCGACTTTTCCCGGACACCCGACCTTCACCTCGGTCACGTCCAAAGTCCTCCATACCTCCGGCTGTTGTTTGTCACCACACAGAATCCGTTTTCACCAACACTTCTATGAAACGAGAGCCTTCTTCCACCGATCAAGAAAACAAAGCAACCCGCTTTTCCCGTTTTCTTTCACCTGCAAAACGAAACAAACCCAAAGCCACCTGCTTTGACGGATCTTTTATGTTCGTTTTCTCACGCATCTCCGGTAACTCTCTCCTGGTTTTTCCGTTTTCCTTTTTCTGCAAACAAGCCAAACCAAAAACAACCCACATGTTTTTGATTTCTTCTGCATGTCTTCCTACTTCTAGTTAGGCTCCTTTAACACCGGACAAACTGATCAAGGATAGAGAATACACCTTTACGGCTACTTACGCCCCTTCAATGCAACCGGGTTGCCTGCTGCATCTACCTTGCAACAGAGGGCCCCTTTTCTTGATACGACTCTCAAACCTGCCATCTTCGACCTTAGCTCTGATACCAATTGTTGGCACAGGTCCTTAAAAAACACACACAACACACACTACTCACGTATGTATGTGAAAGTAAACTTGATGGGAGAAAGCTTCTACATTCAATGACAAATAGAGGTACAGAAACAAAAGAAACACTACACCTATTTATACTAAACATGCACATGCACATCTCGTCATCTCCTATAAACTTGGTCAAACTTGACCTTTTCTCTTGTGCACCTTCTAAAACATGGGTATAATCCCTTTATTTCAGCATGACTTAATCAAACACTCCAGGATCATTAACTAGATCCGAACCATCACCCGTTGAACCAACCGATTAACCAACAATCACCCCCTTAATCGGTTGTTCACACCATTCACTTATTGTCTTCTTTGTGATAGTCCCAACCTTTTCCGATCTAACCCGTTCTTGGAGTCCTCTTCCACAGTCAAGAAAACAATCTCCTGAGTTTTCCGTTTTCCTTTTTCTGCAAACAAGCCAAACCAAAAACAACCCACATGTTTCTGATTTCTTCTCATTGTCTTCCTAATTCTAGTTAGGATCCTTTAACACCGAACAAACTGATCAAGGATGGAGAATACACCTTTCCGGCTACTTACGCCCCTTCAATGCAACCAGGTTGCCTGCTGCATCTACCTTGCAACAGAGGGCCCCTTTTCTTGAAACGACTCTCAAACCTGCCATCTTCGACCTTAGCTCTGATACCAATTGTTGGCACAGGTCCTTAAAAAAACACACACAACACACACTACTCACGTATGTATGTGAAAGTAAACTTGCTGGGAGAAACCTTCTACATTCAATGACAAATAGAGGTACAGCAACAAAAGAAACACTACACCTATTTATACTAAACATGCACATGCACATCTCGTCATCTCCTATAAACTTGGTCAAACTTGACCTTTTCTCTTGTGCACCTTCTAAAACATGGGTATAATCCCTTTATTTCAGCATGACTCAATCAAACACTCCAAGATCATTAACTAGAGACCCGTTGAACCAACCGATTAACCAACACTAATTTTTTTTTTCATATCAATTAAGACTATATTTATAGCTTCTTAGACACCCACGACGAAGTATGAAAACAATCCATGCTCCTGACTCTACCTAATTAGCTAAAGATCCGTACAACTCCAACAAATCCGGTCAAACAAAACACCAATACTTAATAATTAACTATTATATAAAACATAAAACATAAAAAAAAATAATGATTAAATCTAAAGTTCCAGCCATGCACGTGAGCTATGGCTAACAAACCGATTAACCCAAC